TTAGGACCTGCAATCAGGCCCCATTGGTGGCTCTCTAGGCAAACCAGCGCAGCTGAGAATGAAGCCCTGGCCTTGTTACTATTTCAACGTGACAATCTTCCCAGAATGGGAACCAGAAGAGGTCACATGTTTATGGACAGTTCCATAAATTTACAACCAAGATGTCTACAAGACCCAGTGCTTCTTAGGAAGGACCTATCCAGGCCAGTTGCTGTCTTATGTGTCACATCCCTGTGGGAAGGACAAGAACAGAAGCTGTGTGCCACTTGTACACTGCACAGAGTCTGAGGCTGGCTACAACGTGGGGGTGCATGTGGGTGTGGAGGACCACTTGGGCAACTCTCCTTGAAAGGGGAGCAATTGTCTCCACATCGGCTGTGCCTGACCCTGTTTCCATGTAACTATATGTGCAGAGCTGGCTAGGACTTTTCCTTATCATGGCTTTAAGCAATGCATATAAGTCCAGCTGAGGTGCTGATGTGTGCTCTTTCAAGATGACAGAAGCGCTTCCCTAGAGCCCTGTTGTTTCCTTGTGTGAGCTGCCTTGCGCAGGATGAACAGTCAGTGCTCTGCACTATCACTAGGATCAAGCCTGGAGATGGAGACTATGACTTCCTGGGGCTTGAAAGATTACACATCAGAGCTGAAGCACTGACCCCAGAACATTGGACACTATCTCAGTCGTGCAATGCAGATTACTCTTTCTGTATACCCTTCTCTCTGCATATTGCAAGTGAATGCAGGCCTTTTCCCTAGCCCAGCTCCTGGCAGTCACCTACTTTCCACCATTCTCACAGTCACTCATCCTTCAAGTCACTGCTTTCCTCATGAATAAAGCCTGGGTTTGGTCTAGGATCAAGGCCTTCGTGTTCCGGATGGCCACCATCATGGCTGGACCTAGGACCCCTTGGCTCCCCATAACTACAAATATGTCTTAGGGTCTTTATTCTCACCATGGATTGCACCCATTGGAATTAATATACTAGAATTCCAATAACTTTTCATGGAAAAGTTAGAAATATAAACAAATTAAACTGGCTGGGCCATGAGGACCAGGAAGGGCTCACTATATGGGGGGCAAGCACAATAAAGCTAGTAGGACAAAGGGCCTGCACTGTGGGCAGAACGGTTGTCCTTGCTGGCAGGGTGGTTACCTCATCCCGCAGGTTGTCATATCTCTGCTCCAAGCGGGAGTATTCCTTCACGAGATTCTGGTACCGAGATCGCTCCTCCTCCAGCTCCTTCTTCATCAGAAGGTTTTCCTTCATAGAGTTCTGAGCAAATTCATCTGGAAGTGAGGCAAACAAAGATGCAGGTTTACCCTCTTAATGGATTCCCCAGCCCACACCCATGCACGGATGCATGCTTTCTGATTAATCTCTTCTCAAAGGCTGCCTATGAGAGGCTCCCCACAGAGGCACCGGATGAATGTCTTGTGTTCACCCCTAGCACTGAGTCAGGGACTCTCAGTTCACATGCTGCCTGTCTTCTGAACACTGTCACAGGCACTGCTAGGAGCATTCTTGACAGAGCCAAGTTTCATTCTGCAATTTCTTCCTATTGCTGACCTCTCAGGTTCTTGGGGTGAAGAGAGATGAAACCAAATTAGTCAGAGGAAGAACTAAAGGCAAATGAACAACATGGACAGGCTTTCTCCTGCCCAAACTTAGTATTCCTGGTGATGGAAAGGAAAGCCTATTGGAGAAATTTAAAAGCAGCTTATTCCATTAAGATTTTACAGCAGGGGACTGTGAGGTCCTGTGGTTCAGTTACCCTGTGACGTGGATGAGGAAATAGGATGGAGTAGGAGAGCTCGTCCCACTGAGCTGGGGTAAGAACTGGGCACTGGGGCACCTATCACAGCTTACGGCAGAGGGCAATGGAGGATGGATGGCAGCGCAGGAGTTAGTGGGTGTTAAAGACTGGCTGGCCTGGAGCCTAACCTAAAATCCTCTCCTCAGTACACGTGTACAGGTAACTCACTGGCTAGAAGAAACAGGAGCTAGGGATGCTGAACATCAAACATCACCCTGAGCATCCCGTGCATCCTCTGGTCACCTACATATTAGCCCTTTGAGGTCTGTCCTTCTGTCCATTTTGCAGATAAAGAAATGAGAACCTGCGAAGACTACACACAGGTGTTCGGCAGAGGCAGGCCTGACTGTAGAGCTCCGTCAGGTTCTGAGCATGTGCACTATACTACGCATGAAGCACATGGCTCCCCCCTCCACCTCTTCACATCAAATGGCAATGCAGGATCTTAAAAACCATCACCCTTTTCTCTATAATAGTTCTTACCCTACACTGCAGCATCTCGGTGTCTTTGGGGGAGGAAAAGCAGTCAAGAAAAGGGATTAAGACCCCAAACAAAGCCCAGGGCTTTGGAACTTACCTTTCGACTGGCACAGGATCTGGTTGTTAAGCTGTTCTTTTTCATCTTTCAACAGAGCATTTTCTTGCTTTAGGTCTGCAACTCGCTGAAAGAACACAAAGGGAAAAATGTTTCCCCAGGATGCTTGGCCAAGGTGAGGCTGTTTTTGTGGCACTTGAGTTTTGACAGGTCGTGTGCAAATTCTCTTTTTATTTCACAAAATTGAGTTCAACAAAACTGCTTTTAATCTGAATAAAAAAATGTATGCTAAAAGAAAAATCTCATTATAAAAGAGGCAAGCTCAAACTGCTTACAGCCATCAAGTGCTCATGAATACCTCATGGCGTCTGTACCAAGTTCACACGCCTTGTTCAGGGACTCAGTTGTTGTGAAAATTATCAGATTTGTGTGCATTTATCAGTCTTGCTAATTTTTGAGCTCTCACAGTCTTAGAAAAGCTGGCCACAAAGATCAAATTATCTCTGATCTTTTTTTGTTTTTGGTACCGGGAATTGAACTCAGGACTTTGTGCTTGCCAGGCAGGCACTGTGTCGATGAGTTATATCCTTGGTATCTGATTTTCATTCCACTTGTCCTTCCCTGTCTAAAAGGACCAGCACCACCAACATTCTGGGCAAGGGAAGTAGACTTATTGTTGACATTCAAATATCTGATTCCAGTGTTTGACTTTTTATGATGCTATCAAAGAAATATGCAGTAAATATTACTGAGAAAAAAGGCAAACAAAGAAGAAAGGAAACACTAATTAAAGTCTGGTCTGTTCAAAGAGGAAGGAGGATTAAAATGGTGCAAGGCAAGTGTCTAAAAATGAGAAAACTAAGTTTATAATTAGAGCAAATATTGGAATAGATATTTGTAAAGTACCAACTTGGACCTGCATCCTGAGGCTGTGAAGGACTAGCTGGTGGGAAGAAGGAACGGAGTGGGGGGGTGGTCTCCTGTGCGGGACCTCCCTTGCTACTTGGAATCTCTGGAGATACATTCTGCACCCTGCAGGAGGCTAAGCAGTCATTTTCCTCACTAAAATCACATATTCACCTTTGTGATACTGAAGAGGAAATAATTAGGAAAGAATGGGGGAGGCATGCTGGTCCCCCTTTATTCAGGCTCCTACACCTGAGCTTGTGCTTCCCCCAGGAGTTAAGACATAGCTTCAGAAGCACACAGATCCCAGGCTCCGTAAGCCTCAGTTTCCCCTCTATAAAACTAATACGCATCTCACAGGGTGGTTTCAGCATTAGGTGAAGCGATGCATGTGAAGCACCACGCAGCAGGCTCTGCATACAGCAGCTGAGCAATTCTCGTTGACTACTCTGTAACATGAACTTTACTATGCACTAAATGGAAACAGCTTTAAAATCATTCTATCCCTTACCAAAATTTTAAGGAAGGGTATCTATTCCTTAAAAATTCTTAAAAAAAAAAAAAAAAAAAAAAAAGGAGCGTTTCTTAATTGGTTTTAAATGGCAAATATTACTAATAAAATTAGAAAAAAGTATCAAAATAAAGCCATAGACCACACTTCGTATGCATTTGGTAAAGAATCTTCCATTAAATATAGCAAATGTGTATGATGAAAACACCCAACAAGAAAACAAGGAACACAAATGAATTCTGTAATTTGACAAAGGGCATCTCGGATAGGATCCTTTTGGTCAAGAAGAAGACAAGGTGTCTGCTCAGCCACTTCTGCAGTAGTCAGTATCTACTAGAGGACCCAGCTGGGGCAATCAGGCAAGAGAAATAAAGGCATCCACACCAGAAAGGAGCAGCGTTCAATACCGGGCTGGGTTCTGTGGAAGTGACAGCTGGTAACATGGTCCCTTAGTTCACTACAGCAACCTACGCTCTAAAATCTGAGCCAACACTTCAGTGTGGGGGAGTCACGACCAACAACACATGCCTCCGATGCCTTCTGCTATTTTTAAGCCTCCTTTCTTCCCTCCATCTCTCTCCAAGGCTTTGATTCATGAATTAAGGTCCATTTGTTATTCTAAGCCATACATCAAAGTGTCACCATGGGGGACTTCTCTTGCTTGCTCACCTCAACAATTCTGGAGGAAGCTGCATTTTCCCATCAGTGAGCCACAGGCAGAAATAATCCCACACTTGCCTCCCATGCCAGGGAGGCCAGAGAAAGTGTCTCTAGTCGCACTGCTTTTGGTACCAGCCAGCTAGTGCACGTAGTTTATTGACAGTGGGGACAAACTTCCGCAGTTAAATGGTTATCTTTTGCAAGTCATCAGGGCTGTAGGGTGCACTGAGACTTTAACAATACAGAAGAGGCAGGTGGCATCCCAAGACCATGATAAATGACATCTTTGTGAGTTTTAAGATTCATTAGGGTTGGCCAGATAGCTCAGCTGATTAAAAGTACCTGCTTGGGCAGATACAGGGACTGGGGTTCGATCCCCAGCTTGCCGTGCTGGTCCACCCCCACCCCAGAGGCACACTGAGAAGGCAATTGAGGCTGGGCATGGTGGAGTACACCTGTAATCCCAGTGCTTGGGAGGTTGAAAACAAGAGGATCACTATGAGTCCAATCTGTGGAGTGAGACCCTGTAGACTATACTAAATTCATTAAACACCATTCAACAATTCTTTTTTTAAGGGGCTAGGGTAGGAAGGGAAAAGTATTTTAATTTTTTCAGAATATTACTTGGAATGTTTCTAACTTTCACAAGGGCATGTAGGGCAGCTTATCAGAACCAACAATGGAGCAGGGATCCGATAACTATAAGGACTTAATGTTCCCTGTTAAGTCAAATGAAACAAATGCCCAGATCATTTGCAGTTACTACTGTATCTTTGTGGGGAAGAATTTTTTTTTTTTTTTTTTCTGGCTGACTCAGGCTGCCTTAAGGGCAGGTTTGGGAAGGCACATGGAGCTGGGGATCGAACTGTGGTCCCCCGTGCCTGACTGGGTTTGCTGGAGCAGGTGCTTAAACAACTGAGCTAATTCAAAAGTCCCCAAAAGTTGAGAAGAATATTTTTATTTTTCATTTTCTTTGTGGATATAAGGGCAGCTGTGGGATTTTTTCAAGTTGAATACTTATATTGTCAAAAGAGCCAACTACAAGGTTGGCATAAAACTACTGACAAACTGGTTGGATGATGCTTATATGGAAATATTCACCTGTCATCTGCCCTTAATCCTGCATACTTATCATGTAGTAGAAACTTGCATGGCTCTTGGTAGAAACAACACTTCTTAGTCATATGAAAGTCTACTCACCCATTTTCTGGCAGTGAGGCAAACAAACATGAATACTCTATAGAGGTCAGTTGTTAAGTTACTTCGCCAGTGGAAATGTGTGTAAGAAAAGAATGGAGAAGCAGAAAATGAAGAGTGGACAGAAAGTGAGGGAGGATGATACAGAAAGAAAATGTGAGCTGACCTGAGGCAAGTGGCTGTGTCAGACCCCTAAACAAACTAGAGAAAGATAACCAAGGGTGGGTACTCTATTGCTGCTCTCGGGAAAGGAAGTATCTAGCCACCAGACAATCCGTAGAGGGGAATCATGGTAGATTCCAGGCTCTTGCTCAGTGCCATGGGTATCAGAACACGCTCAAAGCAGTGTAAGGTAGAGATCATGACCACAGTGAAGTTATAGCCCCAGTGGGAAAATTAAAAAAGAAAAAGAAATTATTCAGCTCTTACTATAGCTATACCCTATGCATGATTACTATTTTTATTTGCTTTTAAGAAAACCAAGGCAGAAACAAGTTTGAGAACTTGTCAAAGGTCACAGCCAGGAAGGGGAACATCTGGGCTTTGCCTAGTCCAGCCTCTGAGCCACTATGCCTATCTGTCTCCTGACATTTGGAAGGCACAGATAGGAAGAACAGCAATGAATACACAGGCCTTGTATTATGATTCCAGTGCCTTCATACAGGGACTATCCAAGGGAGCTAGCCAGTGGCTGATGAGTCCATGACTGAAGACGTGGTACAGAAAGGGGGTATGCCCCCATCAGAAGGGGTAGGTTACTGAGGGTGTACCACAGCTCAACCCCAGCAACCTGCATGCTAGCCCAGGGCCCACTCATGCCCTCACACATGCCAAAGACCCCTTTTAGGGCTGGGGAGCTGTTGCTGGGCCACCCTCCCTTACCCAGGACAACCTTGCACCCAGCTAGACCTCACTTTGGTCACAAAGGACCTTCAGAGTACATTCTAGATCACAAGCTGTTACCTCTGTGGCAAGGACAGCTCCAGAAGCCACCTGCCTCTCATCAGGAGCATCAAGCAGTTTGGCCATATGAACTATCACAGCTGTGCAAAAGCAACCAGCAGAGAGATCATTAAGAGTGAAAGGGCAGGAAGTTGAGGGCCTAGGTGTGGACTAATCTGTTACATAATGGACCATCTAATGTAATGGATTTCCTTAGTAGGAAAGGATGTGGCTGTGGTGTAACAGGGAATGCACTGGGCTCTGTGGACAGAGAGGAATTCCTGGTCCCCACGGGCAAGCCAGTGCAGTGGTCTTCCAGTTAAAGTCATCAGGACTGGGGGCCCAACACGTTCCAGGACGCCAGTTCTAATATCACATTTGCTGCTTCTGCTGACGGAAATATCAAACCTATTAATTAAACATCCACCAGCAGTCGGCTCCCTCCCTGTGCTTGGCTGGTCTCATCAATCTTACTCAGTGCAAAGCAGGACTCTGGGCAGGTCCGGCAGGAAGCCAATTGCCTGATTATTTACCATCTGTTAAGATTAGACATAAATATTAAACCTTGACTAGGCATAGGAGACTAAGCAAAGCGAAAAAAATTTTTTTTTTGTTATGGTTTAGATTTAAAATGACCCCCAAAGTCTCTTGTATTCAGAGGAGGGGCTTGTGAAGGGTGATTGGCTCACGAGGGAGCTAAGATGACGACTTCAGAGTTGACTGTGGTGTTAGGGGGTGTGCCTGATCAGAAGGGGTGGGTTACTGAGGGTGTATCACAGAAGGCAGATGTGCATCCGTCCCCAGCCATGCTCTCTGGCTGCTGTGAGGTGAGCAATCCCCCCACCCCCTGCATGTCCTTTTCCAATGCTCTTTCTGCCTGGAGCCATCCACCCATGGGCTGAACCCGCTGGCACTGTGAGCCTCACAGCTGCTCCTCCTCTAAGCTGTAGATTTCAAGCATTTTATACCAGCAACAGCAAAGTGACTGAAACTTTTGGCCAAACCCTGTGTTGCCCCTAACACCAGAATAAAAGTTTTAGAGATCTCAGAAAAGGAAAAAACATTTGCTTCTTTTTTTCCCCCTGGAGTGAGTAACCTCTCACTTAATGGCCATCTTATGCTGGTGCTTTTGAGTATTGTTAACTTGGGGTTGGCTTCCTTTTGGGATCAGGGAAGGGGTCTTTGTTCTCTTTATTGTCCTATTGTTCCACTCCTTGCAATGTCCTTGATTTTTTTCTTGACAGTTCCAGGTCTAATGTTATTTAACACCTTGGTCCATATATTGCCATGAAACTAATTGGTGGTCATGGTAGCAAGAGGTCTGAGGCAAGAGGATCACAAGTTTGATGCCATCTCGGTAAATTAGTGAGATCCTGTCTCAAAATTTACAAAAGGGAGGGGGTGCTAGAAATGTAGCTCAGTGGTGGAGCAGGTGCCTAACAGGCACAAGGCCTTGGGTTCAGTCCCTAGGAACAGTGGTGCCTTGGTTCATGAATGTTTCTGTTAGCAGACGATTCAGTTCTCAAACAGAAGCACCTGATAAAATTGTACTTCCTTTCACAAACTCCACACTGAGTGACAACACAGCTGTGCCCATCCTCCTCAAAACTGTAAACCAAATTAGGTTTGTGAACCACTGTACTAAGAAAAAAGAAAAAAAATATTAAGGACAGGAGGGGGCAATCTCCTTCTCTATTTTGCTCTGCTATGGAAGATCCTCAGATAAGAAACTGAGATGAAGACTTGGATATTTTAAACATGCTCTGAATCTCCAAATCACAATGGTTAGCAGGAAGCAGAAAGAAAAGTGCCAAGGGGGTGGGTGATGAGTCCTACCCATGCGGGTGGGGATAGGAGAGTGCCTGGTTTTATGGCTCATGGGGCTAACCCACTGCCCAGGTGACTAATCCTTCTGCATGTGCAAGGGACAATCTTTTTATCCTTTCTCCCAGGGCCATCAATCCCTAGCTTCCATTTCTAATACTGAGCTCTTTTTTCTGCCTTTGGATTCTATCTTGTTTTTTACTCGCACAGAAGTTTCACCATCCAGTCATCTGTTCCAAGGATCAACAAAGCGCCAAATAAGATTCCATGGTTTGTAGAGTACAGGCTTGCACTTACATTTTGAGAGGAGTGCCCTAGCACCACACGCTGCATCCCAAAGAATGAAATCTGGTTCTCTCATGTGGGGCAAGCTGGAAGAACATTTGTCTGGCCAGCTTATGTGATATGCCAAGCAACATGGGAGGAAGGCGGCCTTTTCCATGCTGTGCTGCTTGGAGTCCCCACTGAGTCCCCCTTCTGACCCGGAAGGCAAAGGCTGGTAGTGCTAAAAGGTGCACCTGGGGTGGGAAAATGAGGCAGATAAGCCCAGGAGGAGCTGCCTGAGAAGGATTTCGTCTCCTGTAGGTGTCTGTGTGACTCTCAGCTGTGAGGGAGTAGGCCAGAGGAAGGGGCCAGAGCAGCAAAAGTTTAAAGGACTACAGAGAAGGGTGAAGAGTCCTCTGTTTCTTCCAGACACCAAACACAACTTCATGGTGTCAGCCTGTACAGGTCTAGAAGGGGCCTTAGAGATGATCTGAATCAATTTTATACACACACGCACGTACACGCACACACACACACTCCCACACCCCCACTCTCACGAGTGCAAGGGAACTAAGGCCAAGGAGATTTCTGGCACATGATTGACCGTGGAAGAGCAGAGATAAGGGTTAGGACTCTACCACCTACCCTGAACCTTTTCTGTGCCACCACTCTGGCTACCCAATTTTGAAGCTGTTCTTCCAACATTATGAACATTGAATCCCTCCTTAGAGCTCCAATCTGTTGTGACTTTCAGTGATGGGCAGCTGATACTAAGCAAGTGAGCAACATGCTCCTTTGCCTGTGGTATGAGGGTCATCGCAGAGACAGGGAGAGAACAATAGGATCCTGGGTCCACTGGGTACTCCAGTAGCACTGTGGGACTTTCCTAGATGGAACAGTTATCTTGAGAATGGAGAGGGGATTCTTTGTAACTTGGTGTCTGGGGCAGTGGGGACAACCCCAGGACGTTCTATCTCATGGGGTGGTAGCCTATGGAGCGTACCTACCACAATATGTAAAGTATGTTGGAACTCTCAATATAAACTTGGGGTCCCTCTTAAGCCACAGTGACTTCTTTTTCCTTTTTGAGACAGGGTCTCACTAGGCAGTTCAGGCTGGCCCTGAAGTCACTATGTAGCCCAGGCTGGCCTTAAACTCATGATGATTCTCCTGCCTCAGGCTCTTGAGTGCTGGAATTACAGGTGTGCATCAACACATCTGGCTCCCACAGTGATTTTTTGAAGGGTAGTGACATCCATAGGTTTCCCGTAAGTCCTGGAATAGCTACTATCTCTGTCACAGCTCGCTTGCTGTCAAGGTGTGGGCCACAGAGCTGAAGCAGGGACTGACCCTAGGCTGCAAAGATGACACATTCTGTGTCATTTCCAAGACATAAAGCGCAGAGCCAATGGCAGCAGTTTAATTAACGCCTGCTCAATGAGTGGGTGCATGCTGTATCTTACCTACAAGTGTGGCCACTTTCTAACACAGAAGAACGATTTGGCCTGTTAGCATTGGTAGCTGTGAAGTTAGGGCAATTTCCCAGCCTGAAGAAGGAATAGTATCTGAGAGTGCTCCGTTGCCAGGCTACTCTCTCGTACCTTTCTCAGCTCATCCGTCTCCCTGCTGTGGGCATCCTCCAGGACCTGCCGCTCTGAGTGGGCCCGCTGTAGCTCAGTGCGCAGGCTCTGTACCTCTTCCTGCAGCTGCAGGCTGGCCTCAGCGCCCTGGTTCTGCTGGTAACATGCCAGCTCTCGATTCAGCTTCTCCACCTCTGTGGTGTGCGTGGTGGTGATGGTAGACAACTTCTCCAACAGGGTTTTGATCTCTTTGTTCTGCCGAGAACATCAGCAAGTAGGGGGAGGTGGTGGAAAGAGACGGTTAGCGAGCAAGGAAAAAGTATAAGGCCATTAGAAAAAGACTTGCAAGGTGGAGTGAAACTTCAGGATCATTACATGGCTGAATGACCTCCTGCTAGCTCCTGAACAAGGCTTCATCATAAAGAAACAGAGGAAGGCACAGAACAGCAATCCTAACATTAAGCAGTGCAAGGAGCTTCTGTGAGCAGGCGCAGAGCTGGAAGCTGGCTGACAGCAGTTTGCTTTCTGTATTGGGAAGACAGAACCTCCACCTACTTTGCATGTGGGAAGAACACCGTAGCTGGCTCCCTGGACCCACAGTTTTGCCTTTTTAGGATTCCTGCCTTTTATACTGAGCCCTCTTGCCTTGGAGATGCTAGCACAAAGGGCTGCAACCGAACTGCTGGTTCCAAAACAAAGGACACTTTTGGTATCCCTTCTTCCTAGATGGCCCACTACGGAGGGCCAGGAGACCTTCCAGGGCCTCAGAGCCTTCTTGCCTTCTGTCAGCCTGGCTTAGCCCATGCAACTCTGACTCAGAAGACAGGAGCCTGGCCAAGCCTGCCCCTACCATGGCCCTGCACACTGGATACCCAGCCACCAGGCTGCCCCTAGAATTCTCGCCTGTACTTAGGGCCCTGAAAATCCAAGGCTAGGTCTAAATGATGGGAAGAGGTCAGGCTGTTCATGGTGAGAAAGCATTGCTGAAAAGTAGTTTGAAGAGAAAAGTAGAGAGGAGGAAGGAGGACTCTCCAGGTAAGCAGGGAAACTGAATAGTCACTGGTTATTCTTCACTGCTGTGCTCTGCAGGCGCTCTGAGTAGGACAGAGATATTGGCTAAAATATCAATGAGCAAGGGCATCTGAAATCAATGATTAGCTTGTGTCAGAAATTAAGACTTCAGAGCAAGCAGAGAGAGGCAGTGAAAGAGAAGCTATTGGACCCCACACAATGCTACACACAACATAACCCATGTGTGAGCATGCTCGTAGTATATTTTCTGCATGGTTATAACAGGACAAGATTCACCTACCCTAGCTGGGACCCTCTAGGGCAGTGACAGTGAACCTTTTAGAGTTTTTAATAATAACGACCTGCTGTCGCACACGCCTAAGGAACTTGATTCCTATTCTTAAAATGTTGTAAGTTCAAGGGGTGAAGTTACTGTACCCACGTGCTTGAATATAGCCCGACTGACAGCAAGTTGAGTTCATGGTTGTAACTGGTTTTGATTGAATAATGTCACACCAGAGGCCAGCCCTGGGGACATAAGAACTGCTCCCAAGAACTGTTGCTGCATTTATTGTCAAGGACTATTGTGATGTGGCTTACGACACCACATGTGCCATGAGTTAACCTAGCTCCTGGCGACCCTGGCCCAGGCATGTCCTCTCCCTCTAACTAAGAATCTTACATGTCAAGAGAGTAGCTGCCTGAATTATCTCCAGCGATTACAGAGAAGAAAGAAGTCCATTTATTTTCAAACAGCTGGCCTCATCTGCTAAGAGGTGTAACCAAGCAGCTTTAATATGTTCACTGTGGGGCCATAATCCGTATGTCTCACTGGCAGAGGCTTGAACAACCAGGGGTATATGCACAACTGTTGCATGCACGGCTGTCCTGCTGCAACCACCAGCGGTACAAGATGCCTCATGGACAGTCATGCATGGGCCACTGGTGCGTGTTGAAGAGCTGCTGGTGAGGAGTATGCTGCGTATCTTCTAGCAGGTTGTCATGTACATTCTCAGACACTGGGTCACAGTTCCCACTATAAATGACTGCAAGTCCCCCAGACAGTGCTATCTGCAGGAGAACAAATCCAAACCAAGGTTCAAATTCCCTCCGGACTGAGCTGTTCTCATTACCCGTCTCCAGAGGCTCCCGATGGGGAAGGTCAACAACTTAAAGGTGAAAGGTAGTAGAATATATCCTGAAACTACCCCGCCAAATTTTATCCCAGCCACTAACTAGCAGTGTGGGCTAAGGCAGTTACTTACCCTCCTTGTGCCTTAGGGTCCTCACGTTTAAAACAGATGTGATGTTAATATTTACCGCACAGGATTGTGGAAGGATTTGGTGAGTTGGTGTGTGAGAATGGTGCCCGCACACAGTCAGGCGACATGGGAAGGGTGGGAGAAAGCAAGATCTTATCTGCCTCTCCTGACTGCCTGCTGGGTCTAGGGCACCCTGCTCACCATGGCAAGATTTGTCACTGCAAACAGATGTTTTCCAAGCAGGAAGCTTAAAGCAAAAAGCTCTTTAAAAATAGGTCCTTTAAATCTGCTTCTTTTTGATGTTCAAGCACGTGGATCATAAAATACCAGATTTATTTTTATCCTCGGGATTCAACCTCAGAAATCTGCAAGGCCAAAGCAAAGCCATATCTGGAAATCCAGGGCGGTGGTGGGTACACAGGGCTCCTGACAGGGGCAGCAGCCAAGTCTCCTTGTCCTCCTTACCGCACTTTGCCCGGAAGGTTAGCTGGTAAACATGACTCCGCAATGCCTTTTCTACTCAGTCATCAACAGCCATAACCCTAACAATGAGAGCTGTGGTGCATTTTGTACTGGAGTTTTTCAAATGGCCAGTGCCACAGACAAGGTCTTTTCCTTGTCCCTCTAAGTGGGTGCCTGCCTCTCTCACCTGGGGGGTAACCGAGGCCAACGTGGGCCAGGGGCTGAGTACCCCCTAACCTGCACCTGAGATTTTTATCTGGATTCCCTACTAAGGAGCCCCACTGAGCAAGGCTCTCTGGAGAATTCACCAGGGAACACACACTTGGATGATAGCTCTTCTCAGTGAGCCTGGTCTCTTGCGAGAGCAGGGGAGCAGGGACACCCCACTGTCATCTAGACATGGCTCTGGAACACCTTTTGGGAGGTAGTTTATGTATAAAATGGCTCAGTTGTGTTACTATCCTATTGGGCTCATGAGGAGCTTTTAAAATGCCCAGTATAGAATAGGTACAGTAAAACCAAGTGACACTCAGAGCCATGCTTGGTGGTCTCAACTCTATATGTCTCTTTCTTCACACCCTCATACTAGGCACACCCTTTGCATTTTTTCTCTTCCTTTCTTTTCCTTTCTCAGGAAGTATCTATAACTCTCCAGGGACCTGTAGGAGTCTGGCCCTGTGGTCACCTTAATACCGGTACTTCATGAACCAGGTGACAGTGATTTTCCTTTCAACTCTGGAAGCCCAGTCAACAGTGACCACATGTAGGACAGGACTGGCACTTCAGCAATATTGGATTAAAAAGTTAGCACTATCTTTGTATGGCTACGGGATCAGATGTGGGTAGAATCCTGGTTCTAGCACTTTCTAATTCTGTGGACTTGGCAAGGTACTTGATGTCCCTGACCCACAGTTTCTTCATTACAAATGATCTCACAAGGTCACAGGAGAATCAGTTGAGAAGGGACATAAAGCAAGTCACAGCTCTTGAGGCATGGTGGTGTTCAGGAGAGGGATCCATGCTACTGACCCCGTCTTAGGTAGGTGTCTTCTCCAAGACACACACCAATGTGTGCCACTGATATCTTCTGTCCCAAACCTAACAGAGCATCTGGATCAACCAGGCACCAAGTAAAGGTCTTCTGTGCGGAAGGACTTGAGCTACCAGGGCGTGGTTGTAGAGAAGAGTGACAGGCATGCGTCAGCCTCACATTTCCAACCTGGACTCTACCCCAGGTCCGTCAGATCCCACAGGAGCCAAGTACTCTGCTCCTGCCCCGAATTCCCAGCAGTGCCCTGCACAGTACTCTGCCCCACGGTGGTTTACTCAGTGGTTCTTCCTTGTGATTGCCTCATGTGGGAAGGTGGTCAGGCAGGCAGTAGAAAAAGCTTACACTTCCCAACAGTGCTGACCATTTTGTGAGTTGTACAGTAGGCTATCTCAGCTTGTCCTCTGTGAGAAAGCATGGCACTACCACATACCTCATAGGGGCTGCACATGCAGCTGAAGTGCCAGTTGGGCATCAACCCCAGTGCCCCTCTGTAGGCACTTGCTATTGCTGCGCTATTCTTCAGGGGCACAGGAATAGGGCATGGGACTAGGACCTGGGGCTTACCTGCCAGTTTCCAAGTTAGCGGTTCAAGAAACATGATCTGTCATCTTACAATTCTAGGGGTCAGAAGTCTAGAAAGGGCCACGGGACTGTGTCCTTCAAGGCATTCTAGGGAAGACTATTTTGGTACCTTTTCTAGTTTCTAGATGCTGCTCATAATCCCTGGCTTGTGGGCCTGTATCATTCCTACCTCCTATTCTGTCCTCTCATCTGAATCTCACCCGCCTCCCTCCTAGGAGGACACAGCTGATTGATTACACTTGGCCCACCTATATAGTCCAGACTCATCCTTCCATCTCAAGAGCCTTCATTCGCATTTGCAAGGCCCTTTCTGCTCTGTGAGGCCAGACCCCAGGGACCAGGGTGTAGATGTCTTAGGCGATCATTTTTCTGCCCGCCATAGTCAGTAATAGCTCTTACGGAGTGGGTGATAGCCTGAGGACTTCTGTGCTCCCTCAGGCCTCTGGCATGTGCCACTCCCCTCAAACAGCCCTGGGGTGCCCCCCTCCCCCACCCCAACAATGGTAGCAAGCTTCTAGCACTGACCTGTTCGTCAATCTTGCGCTGCAGCTGGACCACCTTGTTCTCCATGCCCACGTTGAGGCGTTTCAGGTGCTCTGCGGAGCGGGCCTCTATCTTGAGGGCTTTCAGTTCTTGCCTGGCTTTCAGCCTGCGGAAGGCACACTGGATGACAATGGCCGCATGTCGCAGCCGCCAGAAACACCTGCGTGCCATCCAGCCCCGGGCATGCTTCTGGATGATGGTGGCCTTGTGCTCCATGAGGACCTGACAAGGGAAAGCACACACGCCCTGTGGGTCTGAACTGCAGGATGGAGCAAAGGAGCTTACACGACCATCTAGAGGAGAGAGACAGGTCAGCCTCAGCTGTAGGAGACGGGAAATGTGTCCCCTAACTTGTATGGCCTGTACGACTTTGATGGTTGTTTCATAAACAAATTTTAGCTAGGTTCTAAAGTCCATGTATCCAGAGAATCAGCTGTCAAACTCTGTTTTGGAAAACTGTATCATAGTCTGATCTACAAACCTCAGAGCCATGGGGGCCTGCTGAGGATCTCATTCATTTCTCCCCACTTGACAGATGCATGCCCCAAGCTGGGCTGAGGGAGCTAGAAGATGCAGCAAGGTGCTTCAGTCAGGGGTACTGCCCAGTAGTGGCTTAGAATAACTCAAGAGTTTTTCTATCAAGTTAAAAACCACTCGGGAAATGAAAGCATCAACATTTTGTCTTAATACCCTGTAGAGCAAATGTTCATACAACGAATCAACAAGCAAACGTGTAGGGAGATTAATATGCTCATCGCCACAGCTCCATGACAGAGCTGGGAGTCACACCTAGGGTTTGCTCTGTGCACATGCTGCCCCCTGCTGGTTACCTCCAAAATGGCACTTGCCCCTTCTGGGGTCTCGCCTGGGATTCTCTGTAGTATCATGTCAGATGTGTTCTCTCCGCCCTGATGCTTGACCACATGTTTTCTCATCATAAACTCATGGCCTTGTTTTATTATTTAGAAAATTACACATTCCTGATCATAGAAGCAACCGAGGTTCATTTTAGGAAAATAAACATTTCACACATTTCCTTCAAGTCATCTTCCCAATCAGCATTTTGCTTCAGTTACACGGTGTTAGGCGGCTGGTCAAATGTGCCCTGGTCTATGCTCCAGTGGACTCCAGCCTCACTGGAATAATACAGAGCAATGGGCTGGCAGGGTGAGGTTAGCAGCCTTCTCCTGGCATTATATGACTGGGCTTCGGATTCCTAATCTGCCCAAGAAGCGGGCAGGAGCTGCTGATGCCCAGTGCCACCTCCTGCTTTCAAATGCCAGAGTGCAAGTCACAGCAGCACATCCCACAGCTGGCTGATGGGGACTCAGTTTCTCTGGGCAGCTCAGGTGTCAAGGGGTGGAAAGATATAAACCCTTTCTTCTTAATTGAACTTTGAAAAGGATTTAGTGAGAGTAGAGATGTGAAAGTATTTTTTAAAAAGCCAGGAGCATCCAACAAGTGCCGCTGTTGGTCACAACTCCGTGCAGCTGCCTTCGCGGTGCGTCTGCAGCCTGTAGCTCCCGGGGGAGGGGGATGGGGTGGGGGTGGGGCTGCTCACCTGGCGGTAGATTCTGCGCACAAACATGGCGCGCGCGAAGGCCTGGATGACGACAGCAGCCCTGCAGGTCCTCTGGTAGGCGCGGCGGGCCCTCAGCATGCGGTACTGTTTCTGGAACACCACAGCTGCACGTGTTCTTCGCAGGTGCTCAGCCAGCCTGGGGGCAGAAGATCGCAGGTGGGGCCAGTGCCTCGACACAAGCCCCTCCTTCTGCATTCCTACATAGACACCCACAGGCGAAGCTCCACAGCTACGATGTCGATAGGGTTCAGAAGAGCAGGATCAGCTTTCTCCTCGTGGCCCAAAGTCTTTGTACCAGCGACCCCGCCTGTGATCCTGACTCAAGTGCCCCCTGTGCCTGTGCCCTCCGCATTCCCCATCCTTCAGTGTTCTGAAGGATGTACTGCTGTCTGTCTGGGCCTCGCCTGGCTCGAAAATCTCTACAGCCTCATGTCGATCATTCTGTGCTCCTGCACCAAGCTCAGAGCCTGGGACAGCAGGTACCGGGAAAATACAAGCTGCATGATGGGAGCTTCCTCAGGGCCCCAGCGATCCTCTCTTCTCATCTCACAGCTTCCTGCCCTCCATACCCGGCATGGGAATCTCTGTCTTCTCTTTTGTTCTTCACTCCTCCTTCACCTCCCCAGTGGACAGAGAGCCATTTTGATGCTTTCTGCTCTTCTAAAAAGTCTTGTTAGGTACTGGGTCACAGCAAGTACTCAGAGGCCCAGAATGCCAAGAGCTAGGACGGACCTTGGCTATCATTGAGTGTGGCCCTGGAAGAGGAGGTGACTGACACACCCAGGCCACGCAACACTACTTGCAGGGATGCATGGTTCTCTAGTCCAGCTCCCTATCCTCTGGATCACATGTCCTTGCAGGGAAACACAGAGAAACACTTGGGCATTAAAGCTCCAATCTTCTCTTTTTTTCCCCTGTATTTAGTACAGGCTCTATAGGGTCTCACCTTGTAGACTGGACTCATAGTGATTCTTCTGTTTTCAGCTTCCCAAGAGCTGGGATTACAGGTGTGTGCCACCATGCCCAGTCCCAATCACAGTCTCAGTGAGCCCCACGGGCAGGGCTGGCAAGGCACGCTGGGGATTGAACCCCGGGCACTGCTTGTCTTCTCATTTCTACAGCTTATGCTCCTTCCAATAGCTCAGGGGTGATTAATAGCACTCACCTTTTCTAATAGGCACGCTTCCATAAGCAGCTTACAGTGAGCACAAGAGTCTCAAGCACACAAGGAAGGGGTGCACTCTCCTACCTTTAGGAGACACAGGGTGCTATCTTTTTTAAATTTTTTTAATGTCTAGCAGAGATGGATGGGCAGCCACTTGTGAAATTCTGGCTCTCAAATGAAAGATTTCATGGGATTTATTGTCATTCCTCCAAGGAAATTCCAATTTGGACAGGGCACCGGCTATGAACCAGGGCTGCACCCAAATCTGACAACTTGTATGAAAGGCCTGAGGTGCATCTCATTGGAGGCCAGGACCTCTGTGCCTATGACACATCTCAGTGGAGGTGGCCCCTCACACCAGCCTCAGTGGAGACACTCCTGTCACTCTAGCACAGCAGACCAGGGATATGTCAGGCTAGGGAAGGGCAGCCTGATGAGCTTCACCACGAGGTGGCTGTTATGGTTGGCTATGTCTGTGATAGCTTGGTTCAATAACTCATAAAAGGGCCTCCCAGGAATTTGTCCTAATTACCAAATTCCAAAGGATTCTGAAACTTATGGTATAAATAAGGCTATGTAAAGGTTAACTGTGAAAAAACTCAATCCTTTTTCCTGAAAGTCATATATTTACCTTGGGGCTTAGGCAAAGGGAATAGTTGACTTGTGTGAAAAACAGCTGGTTCTAGCTGAGTACTGCTAGGGTGAGGGGATGGTGGTAGGAGTGGGAGACCTAGAAACTAGACCTACTCCTAGAGAAGGGCGTTGGGGAATGGGTCCAATCTTTGGGAGCATGCCAAGGTACAAACAGGGCCAACAGGAAACACTGAATACTCTTAATTACAGACCATGAGAGAGGCAGTTCCCTCCTTCCGGGTAGGCTCACCTGCGGGCCAGGTATCCTCGGCAGTGCTTCTGCAGGGTCACGGTAGCCTTCTTCAGCCTGTGGTACTTCACCTTCTGCAGCCATCCCCGGACAGTTTTCTGGATCATGATGGTGGCAGCTCGGAACTTGTCGGCCCGCAGTTTCTCCAGGTAGGCCACCTGGCCTGCCCGGAAGAAGATCTTGGTGCGGCCAAACTGGAACTTGTCAGGATCCTTTAGAAGATAGAGAGAGGAGCTGGTTGGTCCTTAGTAAGCAGCAAGGTAGCACACCCCACACCAGCCAAATCTTCTAAGGCAGAATCCCTTGCCAAATCCCACTCTCTCCTCCTCTGCAGGAACATATTTGTTCAACTGACATAGAGTCTCCACCATGGGGCAGGCACTGGATTAGGCATCCAGGATGTGGCCATGAACAAAACATCTATGCTCCCAGTACTAATACCATGGTGAGGGTAGACAGACAAGCAAAGACACTCTCTGTTTTCAGGCAGTACTGAAATTAAAGAGGAAATGACCCTTGGGGATGCTTCAACAAGATGATGGAGAAAGGCATCTCTGCAAGGCAATATCTGAGCAAACACCTGGATGAAGATGGCAGCCCCAGTGAGGTATCAGGAAGTAGCATTCCACGGCTATCATCAAGAAATCAAATGAGAAAAGCCGGCAAGTCTTCAGGGGCAAAGGAACCTTCTACATGGTTGCTAAGAGTGTAAGCTAGTGCAGCCACGATGGAAAGCCATATGGAGGTTCCTCAAAAAATTTAAAAATATAAATTCCATTTGACCCAACTATTATCCTTCTAGGTATCTTCCCCAAGAAGTTGAAGATACCATAGTCCAGTGATATGTGCATACCCACTTTTAGAGCAGCACAACTTGCATGAGCTCAGTCTTGGAAGGAGCCCATATGTCCACAAGCAGATAAATGGATAAAGAAAATGTGGTCTTTGTACATAATGAGGGCTACTCTGCCACAGAGGATAAACATGAGTCACTCGTGGGAAAAGGGATACACTCTGAGGCTGTAATGCTAAGTGTGAGACACAAGTGTAAATATCAACATGGTTTCTCTTATATAACAAAATCAAAATATGAATAATTTAAAAAGCAAAATAAAAGCTAGACAAAAGAAAACAGGGAGATAGGTCTTTTGCAAACAAGAAGGGGGCTGAGAGATGTATGGGGGGCAGGAAGGTGGAAATAAAATAATTGACATGTATTGTGTACATATATCAATTCCCCAGTGAACTTATAATCATTATGTAATTTATTTATTTTTTGTGGCTGTCTCAGCCTACCTTGGGGGCGAGGTTAGCATGGCATGTAGTGCCAGGGATTGAACCGCAGTCCCTGTATGCTTGCCTAAGCAGGCACTTTAGACCACTGAGCTATCTTGCTGGCCCTTCATTATGTACTTTATTATTATTTTTTTTATTTTGTATTTAGTACAGTGTCTACAGGGTCTTACTACACAGATGGGACTCCTGGTGATCTTCTTGTTTTCAGCCTCCCAAGCTCTGGGATTACAGGTATATGCCACCACACCCAGTCTCAATTGCTGTCTCAGCATGCCCTGGGGGTGGGGCTGACACGGCAACTCATTAGGTACTTTAAATGAGAATAAATAAGTTTTTAAAACCCGCAGAACAATTGCAAATGCCCTGGGGTGGCAAAAGCCAAGCATTGTTGAGGAGTTGAAGGCTAGCAAGGATAAATGTGGGTGGTGGGAGGAGGCAGTCCCCAGGAGCACACACTTAACAGGAATGCGAGCCATGAGTTGGGCTACTGAGCTAGGCAATGACCTGACGATGCTCAAATGGTCACACAGTGTACATATAACTACAGACTGCAAATAGCCCCCAAGTAAAACTGCACTGTGAGATGTTTTTGCACCCGTAATTACTATCTTAATTATATCTATTGGGTTAAAATTGCTTGCCCTTCTCTGTGTTCACCCCAGTGGGCAAGGAAAGATGGCCCCCTAGGGGAGTTAATCATGACAACTGAGGGCATGTTGCAAACAAACTGGGAGCTAAGTGTGTCTGCTGGCACAATGGCCACACTAAGACAGGGAGCTGTGGTCTAGGAAACACATTAGAGCAAATATGCCTCATGTTGGCAAATGACTCGGAAGGACTGCTGAGGCATTGTGCTTCCCAGGCTCCACACACTAGGAAGCGTGCACTGCCTAAGCTGTGCAGGAGCAGCCCCAGCTTGAGGGTCACTAAGACTCCTTCATGGGCCTGGCTGCTGGGGGAGTTGGGAAGGAGTGGGGTCTGGGCAGACTCTCATCTCTGTGTCTGCTCAGGGTCACATCTCCAGGAACCTGCATCCCAGGAGCTAGAACACAAGTACTTTGGTTGTTATTCTAGAAATAAGCAAGAGCCAGTGTTGTGGTACTTGCCTGTAATCCGAGCACTAGGGAGGCTGAGGCAGGAGAATCCTTGTGAGTTCAAGAGCAGCCTGGGTTACAAAATGAGCTCAAGGGCAGTTTGAACTGCATAGCGAGGAGACCTGTCTCTAAAAGCTCCCTGAGTGTGTGTGTGTGTGTGCACGCGCACACACACAAACACACACACACAGCAATAAGCAAGAAGGAGCAGTTTGGGCTGTGAGGTCACTGTGGCTACAAATAAGGCTTCTGAACATGGTGCTGCCCCTGCTCCATCCAGTCAGCAAGCACCTTGATCTGCACACCTCCTACCCTAGGATGCACCATTCTAATCGCACACTAACCAGTCAGTTACCCTCATGTGGAAACTTTTTCCAAGAGCCACACACTGAGTGAGGAAAAGCCTCAAAGTCTTAGCAGTCACTTCCATGTCACTTCATACATTTCACAGATGGTAAAAACAGGTGCGCGCGGCAGTCAGGCCCCATGGGATGATTCTCCACAGTTGTGTCTCTGCTCACACTAGACCACTAATCCTGAAGAGCAAGGCGCCTTCAGCATACTTTTTTTTATACTCCTCACTCCAGACTAGTGTACCAAGAGAGAAATATAGATGTTTGTGGAGCTGAAGCAGCAAATGCACACGCGTGTGAAAGGGCATTCCAAAAATCCTCGCAGAGATGTCCTCACAGTGCACACTTCTCCCCAGCCAACTACGGTGGTGAATGTTCTCCATGACGGCCTGGTGAAGCAGCCCCCAGCTCCCAGGCCTCCTAGCCAACTTCTTCCCTTCTTCTCTCCTAATCATTCTCTTCTCAAGTTGTGCCGAGTACTTGCTTAAGGCAGGGCAGGAGTGGCAAATGCCTTTCTAGGCCAACTTGTGACTCTGCTGAAGCCCAGCTACTGGGCACAAGTACTAGGAGCATGGGTGGCCCAATGATCTGGCCAGAGAAAGGGGTGGGAGCAGGGGAGAAGGTCAGTGAGGCCTCCAGGAAAGAACCACGCAGAGTGCCCCTAACTGGCTATTGTGGTTTAGACCCCAAGGGTTTCTCTGTCCACTGGTGCAACCTTGGGCAATTTACACCAACTGTCTGTGCTTTAGTTTCCCTACCTGTCAAATGGGTGGTGCTTGCATCTTCCTGACAAGGTGAGCCAGAACCAGACATTTCCAGTCATGATGGGCTTACCTAGCTTGTCACTCCTGCAGTGACCAGCACTAACCCATCGCTACTGTGAGAAGCAGGAATTGTACTGGGAGCACAGCGACAGTAAGGTCCTTGCCACTGACATGTTCACAGGCCAGTGGAATGACAAATGGTGCAAGGAGACAAATGCAATAAGAGAAGATGGGCACTGAGTACCATTGGCCATAGGAAATGGAGTTGCTAATGCCCCCCGGGGGGCCAGGAGCAGGCTTCTCAGGACAAGGAAGTATCTGACAGCTCATTTTAGAAAGAGCAGAACCTAGTGGGCAGCTTAAGGGAGGAAAATACTTTTCAGGCAGAGGGAATAGAGCCTGCCACATAACCCTTCTTCAGGCAAGTCCCTGCACAGTCATGCCATGACTGTGTGGTGGCTTCCTTTGTGCCAGGTTCAGTGCTTGCATGTAAGGGGATGTGTCACTGCAGAGACAGGGCCCCACCAGGGAAGGACACATGTATCTGAGGTGCGCCTTCAGGGTAACATGAGGTGCTTCAGGAAGTTCTGGGCCAGAGGGGCAGAAGGGCAGAGTTGGGCTGGAAGCAGGGCGCTGAGAAGCAGGCAGGTCCGTCACCTCTGAGAAAGAGGAGATGTGCCTGGCCAGGTCCAGTGGCCCGTGCATGTCAAGAAGGCAGGTCCCAGGCAGGACCCTGGTCCCAGGATCCAGAGCGGTGCATAGTTTAGCGTATACCCTTTGTTTGGGAAGTGCAAGTCCTGCTAGTAACCTTAGAGGAGCCCAGAAAAGACAGGGGAAGAGTGGACAAAAGAGAGGACAGTCATATGGGAGAGGTCTGGACTACAAATCAAGAGGCCATTGCTGTTACCATACCCAGGTGACACCCCAGGTTAGCTGAAATCTCTGATCTTGAACACATCTTTTTCTCATAAGCTCTGGACACTGACAGATGGGCCACAGGAAAACTTCAGCTCACCAGAGTACCAGGAGCAAACCACAGCCCTCAATTAACCAGACTGTTACCCTCTGTTAAAAGGGAAGGGGACAAGAGAGAACAATATTCAGCTCTTCCTATTTGCCAGCTGGTGCAGCATGTGGTACCGGGGAACAAACCGTGGTCCCCTGTGCCTGCCTAAGCTTGCCTAAGCAGGTGCTTTAGGCCCCCGAGCTATCTCGCCAGCCCCAGCTCCTTTTTAAAAGACAATTTTAAAACCTTACACATTTAGCACAATACCCTTTGTTGTCCATAACTACAGGCTTAGATGACTGGTGCATTTACTGGATGAGACACGACCTTAACGCTTATTTGGTAATAAGCTATTCCAGATAAAGAGGTCTCTTAGCAAAATAATACTTGAAAATGTAACATTTCTGATGTAACTCTTTTTACTGTCTTCTAAAAAGGAAGATTCTTAATAGAGTTTAGCACTTGAGAGAGACCTTGTTGCATTCTGCTCTAATCCCTGAATTCTTTGGAACTACTGGAACGTTAGAGGTTTGCTACTCAAGTCTGTTGTATAGTTGTCCATCTCAACTGTCAGGTGTTATTTCATGTTGCTTCAGTTAAAACATAAATCTACTGCCTGATTTAACATATATAAATAGGGAGGGCTGGGGCTAGCTTTACAATAAGATAAAAGTGGACCAGCTCTTTTCTGCTCTGCTGACAGGTGCTCTGCATGGACCCCAGAGCAGACCCCAACCATGTACAGTGGTGGGCATGGCTGGGCCCAGCGATGGGGGACCAGAGATCCTGGCTGGCAGCAACCTCCTTGGCACCCCAGTGAGCTGGCCAGAAACTCTCTTCTGTATATGCTGAGATGTGAGAAGGCTAGGAGGTCCTCTAGGTAAAGGGACTTTTGGTTTCTAGTCTCTGATACAGGAGAATGGATCAACATCTCAGACAGCCTCAATACAAATAATGGCAGAAGCTGCTGCCGAATGCCCAGCCGCCACTCTCTGACCACCCGGTCATGCCCTCAGCTGAGCCTGCTTACCCTGATGAGGTTCTCCAAGACAGACTTGCAGATGGCCTTCTTGTCGGTGTTGGCGAGCTCTCTCTTCTTGACCAGCACCCGATACCGGTTGAAGAAGTCATGGTAGGTCCACCTGAAGGACAAGCAGCAAAGGTACATCAGGTGACACATCTACCTCTTGGCTACACATGGGCTGTGGGTGACCTCAGGTAGTGTCTAATAGGATCTATGCTATTGAACAAAGCATTCTTAGAGCAGCAAAAGCCAGCCCCTGGGGAGTTCTGTCTTCCTCACTAACCTCCAGAAAGTCCAGGCTGTATGGGTTCCTGAAGTCAGGCTGAGAATGGAGGATGGGTGGGCTGGAGGAACCTTCTGGGGGAGGCAAGCAGGGGTCTCTGTCCATAGAGTTGACACTGCTGAGGGAGTAGGGCACCTTGGGTTGTTTTTGTGTTTGTTTTGTGATATGGGCTGGACTCAGCTTAGGGAGCACTGAGCAATATCTCTAGTCCCTTTAGAAAAATTATTTTGAGATAAGATCTCCCTTTGTTGCCCAGGCGAGCCTTGAATTTGTATATTCCTGCCTCAGCTTCCTAAGTAGCTGAGATTACAGGCACATGTCAGTATACCTGATCATAGTTTTATTGAGTTTTCTTCTTACAGAACTGCTTTTAAAAAATGCAGAGAAGTGTCCATTAGAAAGAAAGTAGCCATACTCTAACCCTTAACCCCTAGAGGAAGCACTGTTCATATTTTAGTATGGTGTTGAAAGAACCACTTCCTTCCCCAGGTATATTTTGCTTACGATTCCTTTTGCTCTATCACTAGAATTGGCTCCTTGAGAAAAGACCACTCTGATTTGCTATAATTAAAGAGATCTGTAATCATTTGCAAGGAAGTCCTGCTGTGATAAGTTTGGGAAGGGGGTCTATGAGAGGGTCTGAAGTTTGCTGCCTCTTGCTTTCAGAGCATCTCTATATAAATAAATCAGCCTTTTCCATGAGGAAATCCATTTCCTAGGCAGGGCTGCCCTTCCTCACAAAGGTAGCTTCTGTTCCTACTTCCCTGACATGTCTCAGTTCTCATCTCTCTTTTCAGAGATGCTCACAGCCTCCCGGAACAGCTGTGTACTGTGAGTCAGCACAATCCCTCCTGAGAGGACTGCGCCTCTCCGAAGGTAAGCACAGCCCATGCTCAATTCCTGAGTCCCCTGTGGTGGAGGTGCTGGCTCACACCTCCGGAGGCATCTGGAGGGGGCAGCATGCCCTGTTCACCAAGGTTTCCTTCTGAGTACACCTTGTTTGGAAGTCAGCAGCCCTGGCTGCAATGCCACCAACAGTGGCCTCGCTGGGGACTGGCCAGCTCCTCAGAGTGACACACTAAGGTGTTATGTAGAAAACAAGGGACCGTGCCCCTTCTAGTGTTCTTTGCCTCTGCGCATAGTGTCCTTTGGGAACTCCAACTAGAGAACCAAGTGTCAGGAGCCCAGCAGGTTGAGAGCAGCAGTGAGCGTAGGGAGTGGGCTCCCGGAAAGCTCTGGCTGTGAGTCCAGGACCTTAGGACAGCCTGAGCCTCGCCTCTCTAGGACAAGGAGAAAAGTGGAGACAGCTCCGGGTCTTTTTTTTTTTTTTTTTTTGCAGAGCCAGGGATTGAACTCAGGCCCTTGCGCTTAACAGGGAAGCGCTTATTCTACTGAGCCATCTCCCCAGCCCTCTGGGTCTCTCTTATGCCCCTACTTCTTCTTCGGTAAACATCTTCTTGGCTTGGTGGAAGATTTCTAATACAGTAATGGATCTCAGGAAAGGAGGCAGGGTACGAATACACATCAGGATGACTTTTCTTTTCCATCTTTTTTCCTCTATGTTGCAAGGTTGGTTCTGTTTTGCTCCTTACTTTACAAAGAAAGCTTTTATGGAAATCACTTAGTCTAGATAAAATTAACTCTTTAAAAGTGCACAAGTCAATAATTTTTAGTGCATTTGCAAAGTTATACAACCATCCCTAGTATTGAATTCCAAAACACTTCCACAATTTCCAAAGGGAATTCCACATCTTGAGCAGTCCCATCCCACTCCCTGCTGCTGTCTGCTGTCAGCAACTCTGCTGTGCTTGGTCCCTATGCAACTGACTTGGTTTTTCCCAGAGGTAGTGGGACTGGGCAAGGAGAGCGCATTATACACAGAGCTCCTGGCTCTTCTAGGCCTGTTCGCTGTGCACAGGGACTCCCTGCAGGGAGAGAAGAGGAGGAACCTGTAGCTCCCAAGCCTCTGCTTTACAGCCAACAATGGGGGCCTCTCACTCCTTATGCCTTCCACTTACTGAACAGCAGTGTTTCTGCCCCTTGCTGCAAAGAGACTGAATCAAACCCCTGAGCTCCTGGCTGTTGTAAAAAGGCAGATTTAAAAGTGGGAATACTTGAGGTCTTTGTTCAGCTGAATACTGCTTCAATTATTTCAACCATATACAACAAATACTAAGGAAATCCCCCAGCCTAACCCATCTTTGAGTGACATAATACCAGAGGTCTTGGGAACAGAGAGCCAGAGTCTATAAGCTGCAATCTACACTTGCTTTTTGTTTCTAGTACGTGCAAACACAACTGAATGTTTCCTAGGTGCTTTTGCCCCGCTCCCCTCCAGTGTTAAATACAAACCATTCATTCTTTCTGATACGTCCACATAGGGAAGGAAGGATTTGAGCAAGAATTGAATGAGATAACGGATATGAAAAGAAGAGCTGCATAAGGTCTGTGTCCTCGTTGCCCCTGCCCACCTGCCCACCTGACTCCACTAATGCAACTGATGCAGTCCCTGCTGGCCCTCCCTCTAAAGCTGCTTGGCACTTTCTTGTCACTTTCTGAGGGCACTTCCCACATTCTGCATCATAGTTATCTGTGTACTCGTTTGTCTTATTTCTTCCTATGAGTCTGCAATTTTGCTGGGGGAAATAATTAAAGCAGCATTTAGCAGGCTAAAAATCTTAAATGCTTCCAATTTGAAAATCTTACTGCTGACAGATCTGTAACTGAAGGAAATTATGAAAGTATGGAGATGAGATTGTAAAGACATCAAATCCACTTTGGAATGAGCTTGGAGGACAGAAGTGCAGGTTCTGACCTTGGCCAGTCCCAGCCTGCATGCCTCCTCTCCCCTAGTTGTAGGAGAGGTAACAGTTCACACCTCACAGGGTGTTAGGTGCCCGGAGTCCATCATGTGGACTATTTGGAAAGGTACACAACATCCAAAGATCTAAACTGCTTACCAGTTTACCATTCCTGCACCAACCTACTCCACTCCTTTTCTTGAAAATATACTCTTAAAACAACCTGCGCCACCTACACGGTGTGCACTGCATTTACTGGGGTGGGGATACCAGGTGCCCATACGAAGGCAAAGCGTCAGCTGAGCAGCACATTAGCACTTTGGACAGATGCTCTTCTGCCACAGAGCAGGGGCAGGTGGCTTGGGAGGCCTTGGTCACTCCAGGACGCAGAGTCACACATAGTTCTGTAAATCTCTGAATGCTCCTAGAGGAAAAACACTCCCAGGAAAGGCTCTCTTACCTCTAATAGGAAAACTTTCAAAATGATGCTTAAAAATAAGATTCATTTTCCAAAAGCAGGACCTAACAGGACATGGATTTGGTGGGAATCTTTAGATATTCAGCAAGAATGCAGGCTTTCCCAGGATAATTTTCCATTAAGGGCTCCCTACCCCATAGTGGGGAAGCACACACACACACACACTCACACTCACATACTCGCTCACTCACTCACTCACTCACTGCATTTTAGCTAGCCCTGAGTCCACTATGGGCCCAGGGCTTTCTGCTTTCTATTACAGATCTGCTTCTGCTTTCTATTACAGATCTGCTTGTACATGTATGAAGAGCTCTGGTAAGCACAAGCCTCTCTTGTCTGAGATGTTTGAAAACCTCTTAGTACTTCACAGCAACTACCAACTGTGCCTTTATACCCAGTTGCACATTAGTTTTTTAAAATTATACTTTGACTACTCAAATGCTTAGAAAGTGACACCCCTCCACACACACATTCATGCATATGCCAGGTGATTAAGTCTCTTCTACCAGTTTGGGTTACCAATTGTAGAGTGTGCGGGATAGTCCCATAAAACATATACTCTTTGGACTATACTCCTGCCCCTGGAATATTCAAACTTCTCAAAATGTTTACTACAGAGCATAGTTTTTGTCCAGGAATGCCTCTTGGGAACAACCACCATGACTGCCACCTGCTTCCCGTGGAACTCCCTCCTTGTCAGGTGGTCCTGCACACATCCTCTCACTCCGGCAGGTCTGTTAGCCCACTCCTGGTCTGAGTACTCTTCTGTTCTATTCTGTAGAAGCAGTGGGAGAGGAGTCCCAGCTCCACATTCTATGGAGTCTCAGCAATAGCAGGGCCCCTCAGATCTTCCTTCACTACAGCCCTGTTTTCCCTAGATTCTGACTCACATATTGAGAGGCTGGCCGAGCACCATGGACTTTAACATCATGCTTCCTTTTAAAGAAAGCCCTTTGCCTGGTGTGCTCTGGCCTGCTGAGGATAAGCTATCCTGACCTGGCCACAGTTGTGCATGTGGGAAAGGCCCAGGGCCAGTGACTGCTTCCATGCAGGCAAGCACCAGCAAGTGTGTAATTTGAAGGATTTCTCCTAGTAACAAGCTTCTCAGATTGAAGACAGTGAGTGATAGTGCAGCTGTGAACAGGGTAGGAAGCTCAGGACTTGAATGTTGTTTGGGTTGATTAAGCAGCCATCCAGAGCCTCATAGTGGATTTGAACATCTCTGTGTGCGAATATTTTGTAGAACAACATACTTGCCTGAGAAACACACAGTGGACCAGGCTCAGCCACTGCTGCACATCTTTGTGCTATTCCTCTTTGGGGCATGCTTCCTCAAGGGGACCTTGGCTGCATTAGAAAAAGCCCGAGTCTCGAGTCTCCGTAGTCATACCTTGTGATTGATGCTCTAAATCATGCAGTCTCTATGGCATCAGGGCCAGAAGAAGGATCTCTGAAGATGTCATGGTGGACGATTCCAAGGGTCCCTTGGAAATGCTAAATCAAGATGAAGTGTGTCAACTGAACTTTCATATATTCCACTATGTTGCCATTCATCT